CAAAAGGTAAATGAACTATCAAATTTTAGTAAAATTTATATCAATCGTTAACTTCCTTTTCCTATGCATTATACTGTCATCACCTGCATACGGGGTTTATAGCTCTCAGTTGATTCAATATGCATGCAAATTTTATTATATCATAAAAATTATTTCAAAAGTTATATCATTTCTTGAAATTTTGACCTTATCAGGAAATACAATTTATCATTAAGTTAAATACTGACTGACATTTTCCATAATATTTGTAAGGCCATTACGTACAAACTGAATTGTCGACAAATTTTTCCGTTCCATTTCCCGATCATGACAAAGATCACATGACGGGTATCACCGACGCCATTCCATAGCACCTTCACCTTTAATGTTTTGGAGGTCCTGTTTGCCTACACCTTCTGTATACAATTTGATTTTTGAAATGATATATTTTATACAAAACCGAAGCTTCACAAAAATCTAATTTTGAAATTATTATTTGATATCTATACACATATTGTTCTTTATGTATCATGTTTTGTAGGTAAACTACATTGTTCATAAAATCTGATGATACTTTTGCTAAAAGAATAAAGCAAACTGATCCCCCCAAGGAATTGTCTCAATAATTATACCCTTGAAAAATGACACCAAAGGAAAGTTTTGGGACAAACAAGGTTAAGGTCCATGGGAAACAGTTGTCATAAAAAGTGTACATGTGAAATATTTTAAGCCTACCAGCAACTGTTTAAAAGCTATGATTAAAAGATTGAAAATTACAAAAAATACTTGTAAACACTGAACGTTACTTGATTTAATAGCATATTGAAGGGCGCCGTTAGTCTCTTCAGATAGGTAGATGCAAATTAAATTGATAGTTGATACCAAAAACATTGGTGTCCAATCAAGGTTTGACTTTATATTGATATCATCATACATGTTTATCTCGACATTCAAGTCATCATTTACAATTTGTTTGGTTCTAATATAACATATATAAAGAAATATCTAATCATTACTTTTTATTCAAATATATATCTGAGTTTAACTTATTTTTGTTTTAAAAGATTCTGTGAAATGCAGCGACAACCCATGTAAGCATGGTTCATGAAAATGGCTTCATCTTTAAATTACAGGAGTAATCATATAATATAGAAAGGAAAATTTTTGGTGTTTGTAAGTAACCCAACCTGAAAACTTGGTTTACTATTATTTTTCAGACAATAAACTGAAATAAGTCAATTTTTGATTTTTAATATCTTGAGTTTTATGCAATGTATTAGCTTAAAACTTTGTAATTGTGCAAAACAATTCAAATAAAATATATGAAAATTTTATTATATTATAAAAATTATTTCAAAAGTTATATCGATTTGAAATTTTGACTTAAGTCTGTTCTCAGTTTATGGTATCCAGGCTTTTAAAGAAAATTACATGAATTATATGGAGATACAATTATTTGGACTTTAAAACTCTCTCCTGCCATGGAGGAATAAATATCTTCACATTGTTTCATAATTAAGCATTAGAGACAATGTATATAAGTGTTTCCTATTTGGGGAATCAATAGAAAACACTGTCATTTAGAAAAAATAATTTTTGGAATTTTTGTGAACAAATCATACATATAAACATTAATAACTAAGGCTTATTTTAGAATTATTAAATGAAAACTGATTTTTTTTAATAAAGATTTGATTGCTTATTCTTTATTTTATAGAGGACAAATGTCAACTTTTTAAATAACGTTTGTTAAAACTTTAAAGAGCATTGAATCATTTGTAGACGCATAAAATGAAAATTGTTGCATGAAAAAATTTCAATTTCAAGCCTTATTTTGATAGTTTTTGAATTAAATTATAAATTAAAGAGTTATCCTTCCTGGCTGAGGATCGTATATCCTTAAGCCTTGATTAGAGACAATGTGCGTCTCATATTTTACTGTACGAAGGGAGACATATTTGGGGAATCAATAGCAAAATTTGGACACTGTCATTTAGAAAAAATAATTTTTGGAATTTTTGTGAACCACAACTCCTTCTTGTTCACTAATATTATTAACAGTAGTGAAGAAGAAACTTCAAGAGTATTGTGCAACAATATATTCAAAAAGTGGTGTGAATCAGGTGTGGATACTCAAAAATTCCAAAGAACTTATGAACAATTTGAAATCACAAGGTTTTTTCCAAAATCAACAGCTTGAAAACTTACAACTTTTCAGCTTTAAACACAACCATTCCCCACGATAAATTAAATTCAATGCTTTTCGATATCGTTGACAGCTGCTTTTTCAATACAAATGGAACTCTTAAAATTTCTTACCTTGTCATTGGTCATTTGCAAAATTATTTTGTTAAAAACATTCTGATTGTACACACAAGTTCTCTGAAGTTGACATCAAAAAGAAGAAAAAGTATATTTTATGTAGATACTATAAATAGTTGACTGGAAAATGATGATCAATATATCTGTTTTCATCTCTTGATACAATAAATAGATAAAAACATTCGGATTATACACACTAATACTCTGAGGTTGTTATTTAAAGATACTTGAGTTTCTGATTGACAATATCTATGTTGTTTTTGGAGACCAGGTCTTCCAACAATCTATTGGAATCCCCATGAGTACGAATTGCGCCCCGTTCTTAGCAGACCTATTTTTGTAATCAAACGAAGCAGAATTTGTCCAAAATATTATGTGTGAAAAGAAGAAAACACTTGCTGTGGCCTTGAACTCGACATTTTAGATATATGGACGACGTAATGACAATTAAAGGAGCTGAGTGGTTGTGGCCATTTTAGCCTACTTTGATCTCCTTTAGAAGAAGAGCTCCATATAAAAATATAATAAAATTATCAAATCTTAAAACTAAAATTTATGAAGTTTTTCTTTGCTAAATGATAGTTGACAGCTGAAGATATCATATCTTTAAAAAAATGAGTTATATCTGGTGATTAATTGAAAATTATTTGTTGACCCCTAGCTTCCTTAACAATGGTAATTTCCATTCCCATATTCATACAATATATCCTGCTGAGCTTGAGATAAAAGAAACCACAGAGTCTGACACATCTGTTTCAAACTTGGATATTTTACTTGAAAAAGACATTAATGGTAATCTATCAACCAAGCTCTATGATCAACGTGATGACATTAACTTTTCTATCGCCAACTTCCCTTACTTATGCAGCAATATACCTATCGTCAACTTCCCTTAATTATGCAACAATATACCTTTCTAACCTGCATGTTGAGTTTATATTTCTCAGTTGATTCAATACGCAGAAGCATGCTCTACGTATGAACAATTTCGAAAACGAGGTAAATTATTGACAAACAAGTTGATGAAACAAGAATATCAGTAGTCTCGTTTAAAGTCACCATTTCGTAAGTTCTATGGTCGATACAATGACCTTGTCAGCAAATAAATTTATCATAGAGTCAAATACTGACTGACGCTTTTCATGATTATTGTTAGTCCATTATTTATACACTGAATTGATGATTGATTTTTCCGTAATTTCCCGATCATGACAAGGAGCACACAGCGATTGAGACCGGTCAACAGGGGATGCTCAGTCCTCCATGACACCTGATCCCACCTCTGATATTTTGGAGGTCCGTATTTGCAAAGCTCGTATTTTGTATTGTTTCATGGACTTTTGATCTTGACTACTTTTCGTTGTCTCTATATGTTTCATCTTTTTCATTGAATGATTTTAGTGACACATTCAGAGAAACTTTATAACGCCACTATTTACCTCTAAATTTGCTTTTCAATCAATGAATATTAGGGGTTTCTCATGGCAAAACAAAAGGGTTTTGACATTCTTTTTACATTTCAGTGTGGCCATCACTTATCCAGAACTTTTTATAAGAACTTAGTGAATAAAGTTAAGTGAGGCTTTTAGCGAGAATTAATACAAATTGCAGTCGTCGTTATCTATTTTACATGTATATTACGTTTTGATCAGATAACTAATGTTTCTAAAGAAGGTAACTGCGACAATCAGATATCTTCGGTCATTTTTAACATATGATTTTAAAAAAAAAAATTAAAAACTTTTTTTGCAAGAACGAAAAAACATGCATTTATATATTTTTTTTCAGTCCTTTACTTTTCGTATTTGTCTTAAACAGATTTTTTGCTGTTGAAAGCATAGAAAACGATAATAATATTTCAAATATTACTTTTTTTTCTTTGTTAAATAATTTGTATTATTCAAAAAAATCAACTTGATAAACCATCAGTAACGACAAAGTAGTTATTTCCACTCAGCAACAACATTTTTTTTCCAATTACAGGTCTTACGACACCCAAATCTACAACTGCCAAATTAACAACGACGACATCATTATCAACAACAACAACGACGACGACGACGACAATACCGATACCACATTTCACAACAACGAAAAAATCAACAACAATAACAGCCAAAAGCACAACAAAACTTGTTACAATGTTTAGAGGTACAAGATGTGGTGTAGATCCATGCAGTAAAGGCTGTTTACAGATACAGTCACTGGGCACGCATGCATTTGTGAAACATGATACACAGTATTGAATTAGATTAAAAATGTTACACCCTAAGCAGTGATGGTATATCCTGCATAAATAAGGAAAAAAGGCAATGGAAAAGATTAAATCTTTTCATTTGTCATATAAACTAGTTGTTAGCTAACCCTCACCTCCTAAGTTGGTAAAAGATCCATCTATGATACAGATGTTGGAGACTCTGTTGTGTTTATTTGTATTTTAAGTTCACTGGAATATTTCGATTCGTAACATCATTTAATCCTATATTCCTTTCGAATTTACCAAAGAATGAAAATGATATTTGAATACAAAATTATTTTCACATTGTAACTCTTGCTATTTTTTTTATTACTTTCTTTGATTAAATATTTGCATAATCCCAAACAATTAACTTCTTGAACCATATTTATATTAATTCAACAGTGGGAACCTCTCCAATAACAGGTCCTACAACTCCAAAATCTACAACGGCAAAAATAACAACAAAAACGACAACACCGACACCACATTTCACAACAACAAAACGATCAACAACAATGTCAAAGAAGAATACAAAACTTGTCACAACGTTCGGAGGTAATAGATGTAGTTCAAATCCATGCATAAAAGGCTCATGTACAGATACAGTTTCTGGGTACACATGTACTTGTGAACCATTATACACAGGGCAAAATTGCGATGCATGTAAGTACTAGTAATGTTCAATACATGCCGATGTATCTTAGATTTTCACATCATAGAATTGCTATGAAATCAAAAGAAACAAATATAACAGAATGCATGCGTAACTATTTTTGTTCTTTTAGTGGTGACAGTCTGTGATTAATTTCCAATTTCAACTATACATTCTTTCCTTTAATAATGTTATGAGGTATTTTGTATGTGTTTCAGCAATTATGAGAAAGACAGCGACTGCTTATAAATTCCCAATATGGTTCCCGTACATGGAATATGCTGTGTTGGCTATGGTATCTATGATTGTACTAATGGCCGCTGGATGTGTTTGTCTTAAATGTTGTAAACTTTGCGGTTATATCTCTTCTGATCACGACGATGACGAAGCAGAAAAAATGCACAGGAAAGGAAGAAGTACTTCACAGAAAATAAATAGGCTTACACCGTCCAAAAGGCCTTTTTCTATCGACTTTTGATCAAATACCCTGTTATATCTACAAAATTGAATATCATATTGTTAGCTGACGTACAGAATATCAGGAGAAAACGATCCTATCACTTACTGCTTTGATTGTGAATACATGGATTAAGGCAGATAATTGTCGTGTTGCATATCGGACTGCAATCTTATGTTGTGTGATTTTTGGAGATATTAAATTGTTATAAATATTGAGCTACTTACCACACATCTCATTTATATCTTATGTTTGAAATTTTAAAACTCATTTTGATCTGATAAATATAAAAATACATGATTATCTAAAACAAACATCATTGGTTTTGTCATTAAAAAATTCTTTCAGCACCTCCTACTTTAAAGGATATTTCCTCAGGAACAGGTTACTTACCTGTTTCTGCGTCGCCATAAGTTTGAAAAATGCGGGTTCCTCAAGTGATAATTTTAGTAGTGGTCGTGGTCAGTTTTAGAGAGGCTGGGTGTAACTGTGGGTTGTATCCTGATTGTAGTCTACTGGAGTGGATGCCGTGGGGTTCGTGTGAGGGACCTTGCGGGGGAGTAACCATTCAGACCAGAAAACGCTCTGTTTGTGTGGAAGTGAGCAAAATCATACCGTTCACAGTTGAACATGTCGTTAGTTACTGTAACATAACTGAGCCTATCTCAGAAACAAAAGTTTGTCCGAGTTGTCCATTTGGTATCTACAACATAACCACAAAAACGTGTATTCAATGCAGTAAGTAGTTTTTAAATGATGTTTTGCCAATGCTTTGAAGTTAAAGTTATTTAAAAAACAAAAAACGTTTTGAAAAGTAAAAACATAACAAGAAGTTTAAGGAGCTGACGGAGTTTTTAATCCATCAAATTAACAGCTATAATGTAATTTCTTTGAATATAACACTTTTTTATTTTCAAGTAAAAAATTACGCACTTTGAAAAAAATTTTCAAAGTGCGTTAGTGAAGCAACGCACTTTGATTTCAAAGTGTGTTAAATTTGGGACACATTGTATGATATATATATTTTTACGTACAATGGAAATAGTTATTTTACTTATTCATCTTTCAAAAAACTAAGAAGATGACATATGGTGATTGATGGTCATCTCTCAAATGAACAAACCATAAAAGCCTGTGATTAAAACTTTCAATAATAAATGGGCATTTTTACAACAGGGTATGTTTTGAACAATCAAAGTGGCCCCTTTTTATTATGAACATTATCCATATTTAAATACAAACAGGCTACAGACAGACAAGTTGATTTTAAAGTGTAGCATTCACACATTGACGATGGAAACTATTAATTAAGTCGTCTCCATGTCATAAAATGTACTTATTACTTGGTCCTTCTCTTCCAAAGTCAGTAAAAGATAAAAAAAAAAAAAAAAGGTGGAGACAGTTATGGAATACTATATTTGTATCTTTTATTTCATGTTCAGTGGGATATATTAAATCGACATATGAATGAAAGTACACTGTAGTCATTTGTAATTGATAACACGTCATTGATTTATTCAAATGTCAGTTGAAGGCCACAGCAAGTATTTTCTTCTCGTGCAGATTATGAATTAATTCTTCTTCATTGGAATATAAAAAACAAGGCGACTATAATAAATAAGCTCGATTAGAGCCACACGGATATCCTACAAAATGTTAAACGATCTGGTATAAAGACTGCATCTTAATAGGGTACTCTAACATCCTTTTAATATCAACTACAAGTACGTTCATTTAGAATCAGAATGATTTTATAAAAAATGTCGACGAATTATTCACAAGACAAAAAAAATTCTGAATTCAATTTTTAGTGAAGAAGCAGTTGTCTATAATATTTAACATGCCACATTTTTAATTTATCATTTGAAATGGCTACATGAATAGTAGAAAAAGTAGTATGTTTTAATGATATTCGTTTTAGGAAAAAAATCAGTATTTTTTGCTTTGGAGATTCTAAATCTTATTTACGCCAGATCTTGAACATGCTGAAGAACAGTATGTCGAACAGTATGTTTGACGTTTCTCCTTATATGTTTGTAAACTTGTTATTAAGATGGGGCTTGGTAGAATATTTACTGGCGGTTTATCTTTGTACGATTTTATGAAGTTTTGGAATCAAGAATAGGTGGGGTAGATGGCATTCACCCGGGTTAATTGGAATGTTTAAATGAAGAGTAAAGAATTTTATCCTAAGAAAATGAACTGCGAGTTGGATGAATTAGATTTAAAATATATTAGAGAAAGGGCTATAATTTTAAGATCTACATGCCCCTATCCCCAAGATAAGATTCAGGAGTATATTGGGATTTATCTGCATATCAATTAAAAAAGCTTTCATTTCATCACGTTTATTGCTTGAAGATGTTCCCCATATCAACAAATATTCACTAGGCAGTTAGGACGAAAGTTATTTAAAAGAAATGTTTATTTTTTTCTTTGTATTTTCAACCTTTATCTAAATCTTTATTTGCTATCTCCATGAACTATTTTGAACAAAATTAAATCCTCAGTATAGATCCTGGATTTATTGCTCAGTTGCAATACAATTTATTTAATACACTGTATATAATTTGACTAATTTCTAAATATGTTGCTTTTTTTTCAAAGTAATCTTTCAACATTTTCTTTCTTACTGCAAACATACATTGACGAAAATAGATTGATTCAATTCTCTATTACAAAAAATTTTGAAATTAATAAATTGTGAAATATTCAATAGTACACGTGAAAAAACCTTTTTTGTTTGTAAATAATTAGTTTTGACATAAACTAAAACTTCTCAAAGTTTTATCTAAATTCTTGTTAATTAAGGACCATGTAAACAATTGAGAACCTCATAATCGTTTACCAATGACATATAAGCCGCTCAACTGAAAATTCACAGTTCCTGATCATCATGACATAGCAAACTACGAAAAGATTTATCTGTTATCTGTTAAATATGTAAGTTATTTCACTGTTTAGGCAGAATGTTCTTGAATGCTCTTATTTCGCATTCGTGAAAATATGCAAAAAATCCTGTCCAACTTGTGAAATAATTCCGTAGTTTATTATCAATGAATTCAATAAGATAATTTTTTTTTCAGTGTCGAAGTCTTATCACTTCCCTCATTGGTTTCAGTACCTCGAGATTTCCACACTGGCCGTGATATCTATGACAGTGCTTATGACGTTGGGTTGTTTTTGTCTAAAATGTTGTCAGCTATGTGGATGCACAACTCAAGATGATGACGACCTAGAAGAAAGAAAGAGGATTCTAGAGTACCATAGATCTAGAAAGTCCAGAAATGACCAAAAACCAATATGGCTAAACTCTAATCTTGTTTAAATCTTTCTCAGCGGTTTTTGTATATATCATTGACTGAAGTAACTTGTAAAAATGATGTATTAAATAGTATGAAAATCATACGGTATGGCTATTAAAAATACTATTCATGACAAAAATGAAACTTTTTTGTTATATTTTGGTCATTTTTTTTTAAAAGTCAATCAAATACAAATAATGCATTAAACTTACTAGTATGCCATTGTCTGGTCGCTTTGTTTTAAAGAAAACACTGTCTGATTCGATGAGTATGTGGAGGCATCAACAACAGTTGGAAATATGGGATAATTTATACATATGCTACAAACTAGACAGTGGCCCTTTATAGGAGAGGTAAAAATGGAAATATACACAAAATACCGGTAAAAATGGAAATATACACAAAATACTGTCTTTATTGTGTTGTTTTTATGATAAATTTAAATAATACAACCGTAGTAACGGAAGTGACAAACTAGCAGCCATGATGCTTGTTTACACGAGGTAAGATCGAGCTACTGTTTGAAGTTAAAGGTACATTCATTAAATCTGGAATTTTCCATGAATCCCAAGGACTGGAAATGAGGAGATTGATGGATACAGATGATTCACCTGGTTGTCAAAAACCAGATTATACAAAATGTTATGCGTTCCTTTTTGGAAATCAACCAATGAGAGGCAAGAATACAAACAAAATTAAATTATAATGATATAAAAATACAAACTACACGACGCGTATTCTCCAGCACACTGACGTCAAAGACAAAAATTAAAAGAATATTATGGGTGAATTAAAAAAAAAACTTATTAACACATACTGTAGACGTCTTTAATTTCAAATGTTTTAAATTTCACGGTTTGTTAGAAAGTTACCTTTCGCGGTGGTTTTAATTTCACGGAGAATCGTTTATAAATATTCAGGTGCAATGCCTGTTTTAGATAGAAACAAGTTAATTGATGCAAAGCATCAAATCGGCCCCTAACAAATTTAACAGATCAAAAAAGTACTTTCACAATTCAAAGCATTCATGCAAGAAAAGAACAGGATATTCAAAGCTGAAATAGTGAGCATTTTTATTTCAGGCCGTCTTCAAAGCAAAATAAATAAATGAATATTTTTAAAAATTTGATAGAAATTTTAGTATCATGCCTGCTGTTCAATCCAATTCAATGAATAAAATTTATTTTAAACTAGAAATTTGCTCATCCAATGGATTAATTTATCCATGTAAAAAAAAAGTGTATGATGAATATGCATGGGCGTCGGAAGAAAATCGAAAGTGGGGGGCTAATTGAAAGTGGGGGGGGGGGCTTAACCAAAATAATAAATAATAAAATTGGTAAAGGCTATTTTCAATGCCTATGTAATGTATATATTTGCAAAAAAAAAAGTGGGGGGAACTAAGCCCCCCCCCTCCCCGACGCCTATGATATGAGAAATTGATCAAAATGAAAATGTATGCATTCCAAGATATACCACGTGCTGATACCCTGGATTTTTGTCACGTGATAATAATGCCGATATGGTTTCTGAGAGTAGGCACAGGCACCTGACGCTACTTATTTTTCTTTTAATGAAAAAAATATACCCATACCTAATTAGGTTTGGGTATATTTTTTTTATTGAAAGAAAAATAAGTAACGTAAGGTGCCTGTGAGAGTAGGCTATGCTGTATGGTGCGGTGTATGTATAAAAAATGTATAAAAATAATCTTTGTGTCATTCGCATCTGTAGAATTTTCAAACAAGTTTTTACAAGTTGAGCAACTTTTCAATTTTTTATTCCCCATGCACTTTTACCACGTGCACGTCATTATTATCCGGAAATCATAACGATTTCCTTTCATATCTTACACACTCCCTGGATGGGGAGTACCTATTGTAAACTTTTTATTTAACCATAAATTATCAATTATGTGATGCCAAATGATAATGAAATTGAAACAAATAACAACGATTAAAACTTAATTTAAAGCTAAAGTTTTTAAAATATTTTACTCATGATTTTATACATGTTATCATTTGAGAATTATTTTGCTGAACTAATAAAAAAAAATAACATCTCATTTCCCCATGTGCAATTTCTAACACAACCACAAATAGATCGGCCGCTGCTGCGGCCGAAAATGAAGTGATATAATAATCACGATGGTTTAAAGTTCGCGGAAAATTCTTAAATCGTGAACATAGTGAAATTAAAAAACACCGTCATGTATTCCACTTCTACAGTATTTATCAACCTACATTGAAAATATATTTTGACGTTAAAAACACTATATGTCTATCAACAAATTAAAGACATTTTTAAAGTCAATTCAAGAAATAGATTTCATTATTTCACGTACATTTTTAAATACAGTTTATATATATTTCACTTTGAAAATAATCATGTTTCAAGGTCTTCAATATAGAAAATTTGTTTTTGTAATACTTGAATGAATGAATACACTTATTAAAATAAGAATAAAAAATCGCTGAAATAAGCAATGTTTGAAAACAATATATTGCTTCAGCCTCTTGATAAAAAGACGCGTCATTTTATTGAATACATCTACACTTTTCTTATCGGTGTCCGGCAACAGCTAGCTTCAGAAGTAATTGAATAACTCCCTCCTCACGTCTGCCGATTTACATTTGCAGTTTAGAACATGCAGTAATCTTTCCTCTATACGAAAAGATCTGTTGGAGGACTTGATTTGAGAGTTATTGCGCTTTCTACTTCAAAGCCTCTTAATTAAAGGGACATGGACACAGTTTCAGCTGATAATTTTCAAATTTATCTCTCATTTTCTTATGTTTACAAATTCTTTACTAAGGTAGTTTTAATGTTTATCAAAAATTTTAATTTCAGTTGTCATGATACAAGACAGATTTAAAGCTCCAAACCTTTGTTATAATGTAAACAAGGACCGTGTCATGTTTTTGTTAACACAGGTAAAATAAACTAATATATGTTTGTTCAAATCAGATTTTTTTCAATAAAGAAGTTAATTCTAAATATAAATAGACAGTTTCTAGTGATTTGCTGAATCTCGTTTTGTAACAAATATGATATTTTCTATATATAAACAAAAACAAGGCACGATCGAGACTTGTTTACATTATGAAGAATCTGAAGACCTGTATCTCTTTTGTAAATCAATAGATGATGTTGAAATTTTTGCTGATCATTTGAATTGCCTTAATTAGGAATTGTAAACATTAAAATTGGTTTTTAAAGAGTCAGTTGAAACTGTGTCCATGTCCCTTTTAAATGCCATACATGTCCCCCTGATGGCGGGATTCCTGGTCACATTTCCAGTCATTTACACGTATTCTTTTATGTGTTTTATTTTAACCCCATCCCCTTTAAATTCTATACTTTTCTTTTCCACGTTGATTTTTTTTCACATAGCCTCTAGTTACAACGTAAGTCTGTATGACAAAGCATCCTGCTTCTTTCAAAAGAAAAAAAAATTGGAGGATCGACTTGTTTTATAACGATACTGTTATGTACTTTGAAAAGCTTAATTTACTGTCCTCTGCATCATACAATGAAGCGCATTGAAATGGTAAAATTTTCCATTTGGACGAAACGTTCTGAGTCATGTTTTGAACGTCAATTATAACATAACGACACGCCCATTTCTTCAGAAACGAGAAAGGAATATTCGTCGTAATGTTTTAGGACACTGTGCACTTTCCGCGACAAACAACATGAGTTACACTGAAATGAAGATTTTTTTTAAGAAAGAGCTATGTATAGAGATCCCGCTTATGTAAAAGAAAAAAACGCATTGCAACGAATTTGTACATAATTATGATTTTACATGTTTATTGAAGTTACTATAACACATGTATCGGTCGAACACGTGCTTACTCGGTGTTTATGTAGACCGTCAATTTCATTGGCTATTATATTTATGAAATACCTGTTCTACAGTATTCGATTGAATCATTTGACCGAATTTTCCTTTCTTTAGAACATAACCTACTTATTCAGCCAATCAAATGCTTCCATCTCTCGCAAAGAATTGATTCTTCATGGTGAAGAATTCTTCTATTTCTGAAAAATTCAACGATGTCTGATTGGTTCATTTGACAGTTATTTGGGTGTGTCTTCATTGGTCTTTGTTCAGCACACAAAAAGAAACTATTCAGAACCCACGTGCTGTTTACAATGATATTTAAACTTTCTAGGCCTTGCTACATTTTTTCCCACTGTAATCTTTTGTCGCCTTTTTGAATATTATTTTTTCTCATTTCGGTACATACAGAAAATACAACAATCGCCATGTATATCAGAGACGAACCTTGTCTTTGAAGAGAGATTTAATCACAATTTCCATCAAAATTTTATTTGATATTAGACAGTCATACCCACTCCTGCTGACTAGGGCCTTGTCATCTTAACACAATCATTTTTCAAAAATATAGATATTAAGATTCTTGTTATATGGGTATTCATTAGTTCAGTTACTTTAATATCTTCACTATACCATTTCCCCAGTAAATCAAGCTATTTCATAAAATTAATCCAGTGCTAACCTGAATGGGTTGGGAGTCCATTCTGAAACCGCGTGTGTTCGATATTGATTGCGTGCTCGATGTGTACAACGAGCGGTCAAGTTGAGCCTTATATATGACACAGCCGTGGGAGGAGTTTATTTTTAATCCATTCATTTGATTGGCCGAGGTTCTGTTCTAAAGTAAGATCATATGAAGAGAAATCTTCGTCATGAAGAATGGGCTCCGCTTCGCTCCGCCCAATCTTCATGACTAAGATTTCTCTTCATATGATCTTACTATTACAAAGAAATGATAAAGATAGCTCAAAACGTTCCATCCAAACAGAAAATTTTACCACAATGCGCTTCATTGTACTGTAAAAAACTGGTCACGGTAGCCAAGTGGTAAAGCGTTGGTTTCGTGATCGGGAGGCCCGGGTTCGATTCTCGTTCGCGGCGCCGCCTCAAACCTAAGACGTAAACACAGTTATTGACTGTTCCTTCGCTCAAACGCTCGGCATTAAAAGTGAAAGTCAGGGGTCTTTTGGATATGACTTGAAAAGCGTAGGTCCCGTGTCGCGGTTGGTGTTTGCACGTTAAAGAACCCTCACTGCTCAATGGCCCTGAG